AGTGAGTGCATCCTAAGGTGGGACCAGCCTACCCCCGCTCCTATCCACGGTGGGCAGCCAGCATCTCATTCACACTTCCAGGCTTGCACATCACTTTGCTCCTCCCCCTTCTTCTGCTTCTATCCCCTCTCCTCCCTCCTCTTCCTGCTCCTCCTCTTCCTCCTCCTCCTCCTCCTTTTCCTCCCCCTCCTCCCACCTTCCTGCTTGGCAGTGATGCTGCCACTCAACTGGAGCATCTCTGAGCACTACCTCCCTCCTGAGCAGGCACCCAGCCCCATGAAGCGGGCAGGGGAGGGCAGGGAACAGCAGCCCTGCCTGCAGCCCAGAGGCCAGAGCTCAGTGTAGCTGCTTATGATTCCAGGCCGGTCCAGCTGCAGTGCTGCCCCAGCCTGAAGCCCTAGCCCCCGGCCCCTCCTTGTTTGCTTTCTCCCATTTCCATTCATGCTTCATCTCCCATGCATCGCGCCAGATTTAATAGGTGCCTTTGGCAGGGAAGACTCAGGGAATGGGTTCCTTTTACATCTTCAAAATACCCTCTTCTCTCCCCTCCAGGGGAGTTACCCATTTTCCTCAGAGCCTGGAGATCTGTCTCTTCTTTAGCATCCCGGGAACTTTTCCAAGAGTAAGGGATTCTTTGGACAAAACTGGAGGAAACAGAGCACCTGACGATTGTTTATGGTTTGGTGGCTTAGGCCATGGTGTTCTTATCCCGGGCAGTCCTCTTTTCTGGAACTTGCTACTGAGCCTCGTGCAGACTGCGTTGTCAGGAGGTGTGCGGTGGTTTGTTTCTCAGGAATGTATGGTGACGGGACGTAGGGTCTGTTTCACCCTCACTGCCTGGGGTATGATGGAGGTCATTCCGAGAAAGAAAGAGCAAGGGCAAGAGTCAGTATTACCTTTAGATGGAAATGGATATTTTCTGTGCCCAAGAGGGTTCTATGTATATTTTTCCTGCATCTGGGCTCCCCCATCACACACTTTTTTGCTACACAACTAATTGGCCTAAAGCAATTTTGTTTTTTTGTCCTCGCCCAAGGACATTTTTCCATTGCTTTTTTAGAGAGAGTGGGAGAGGGGAAGACAGAGAGAAACATCGATGTGAGAGAAACACATCAATTGGTTGCCTCCTGCACAAGCCCTGACCAGGGCCTCGGCTGAGGAAGAGCCTGCAACCGAGGTACGTGCCCCTGATGGGAATTGAACCCAGGACCCTTCGGTCCACAGGCCAATGCTCTATCCACTGAGCCAAACCGGCCAGGGCGGCCGAAAGCAATTTTGCCATACAAGATAAAATAATATAAAACAAACAGGACATAATGATCATGAAAGATGAAAAATTAAAACCAAAATTTAAGACTATGGAGAAAAACGAAAATGCATCTTCCGTTGATAGCATTATACTTTTTTAAAAATTTGCTTGCTGGTTGGTCCCCTCATAAGGCATAGCACCTTTCCCTTTTTGCTACCATTTCTTCTTCCTCCACTAAGAGAGGTGTCAATTTGCGCCGCCCGGTCAACTTGGTTTTGACAAGTGGGAGGGCTCACCGGGCTCCTGGAAGGATTTGCCGGCTGATCTGTGATCATTTTCTGGTAGAGTGTGCAGTCTGGCCGTCCACAGGGCTTTGCAATCTGCTTTATACGTAGCTGTTAGGCACTATTTTAAGAACACCACGTCTACCCCTCACTGTACAGACCGCTATGAAGGCTGAGATTTATATAATGTGAAATGGGAGTAACTACAAGAACTTCACTCCTGGAGAAATAAAACCCAGCTGACAACTAGCTTAAATACATGAAATCCGCCAAACGTAAACCAAACTGTCAGCCAGTTATTTTATCTTTTACAGCAAAATTGCCTTGTGGCCAATTAGTTGTGCAGCAAAAATGCTTGCAACATAGACATTTATAGGGAAATTACCAGCACAAACCCAGAGATGCCTGCATTTTAAAAGACCTCTTAGGCCCTAGCTGGTTTGGCTCAGTGGATAGAGCACATGCCTGGGTTGTAAGCTCATTCCCGGTGGGTGGCGTGTGGGAGGCAGCCATTCAATGGTTCTCTCTCATCATTAAAGTTTCTGTCTCTTGAAATCAATAAAAAATTATATATATATATATTTTTTTTTTTATTTTTTATTTTTTTTAACAGACTTCTTAGGTGTTTGTCAGAAAATGAGGAGGTTCAGACTCAGGGAAAGGAGTAAGGTGGAGCAAAAAGGCCGTGCAGTCAAGGTCACTGACTTGCCAAAGGCCAAATAAATCACTTTTTATCTCCTTGGACCACACTGTCTTCATCTGTAGGGTGGGGGGTCGCAGCTGTCCTACCTAGAATTGGTGTGACAATGCTTCTACGTATCATTACAATTTGTAGAACACGTTACAGGACTTTAGGAGGAAAAAAATTAAAATGATTTTATGATCATGTCGAATGATAGGATTTCTTGGCCCCACAGAAGGGACGAGAGATTTCTCTCTCCCATCCTATCATCCCTTAGGCTGGCTAAATGCTGGAAAGGGAGTGAGAACATACCTTACCCAGAATGCCCGGAGGAATGATTAATCCTGACCCGACAAGAGGTCTTACCGCCCAGGCATTGTGTCTGAGGCCAAGGCAGTGGAGTGCTTACAGAGTATTCTTTGCTGGTTGCCTAATAAGGTTAGGGACCAGGCAAGTACAGCAATTGCAGGGAGCTCATGTTCTCAGAGCTCAGACCTCAGGGAGACAGGGGCACCTGCCTCACCTCCGAATCCTGGAAGAACTTTCCTGGAGAAATAAATAGGCTCCCAGCTGGGCACTGCCCCCCTTGACTTTGTGCCAGCCGCTTAGTGCTTGACCTTCGGAGCAAGTGTCTCTAGCACTGGGCATCTTCCATCTAAGATTTCCAAGCACTATTTCTATCTATAATCCCATTCCTTCATCACTTCTTTAGGATGGTGTGCGAAGGTAGGGCTGATTCTCTCCGCGCAACCCCCCGCCACCCCCAGCTTAAGGTGGGAGGAATTGAGCCCTAAGAAGGCTAAATGACTTGCCCAATGGGGGCCTGGGAAGATGGTAAATCTGGTTCTGAATCTGCTATTGTTCATTCAATAAAAGATTTAGCTGGATGCCCACCACGTGCAGGTTCTCCTCTAGGCGCTGGGGATAAAGCTGTGAACAAGATGAGTAAAATCTCTACATTTGGAACGAACAGTGTGGTGGGCAGAGACAGAGGAGAGAGGATCTGAGGTCCAGTTTAGCACTGCCGGCGCTGTCCTCAGCATCCTCTTGAAAGCTTACGGAGGTCTACGTGAGGGTCAAGGTGGGCTTCTTACTACGATAGAATCTTTGTCACCCGCTGCTCCAGAGTAGCTTGGAGGAGAAGCTGAACGGGAGAGGAAGCTCTGTGGAGCTGCTGATCTCTGTGCCCGTCTGAATGAAGCGAGTTGGACACCCTGCCGCAGGTTTTTCCCAGACCTCCTTGTTTCCAGGATCTCTGATGGCATCTAAAGATAAAGGGAATGTGATATTAAAAACAATAACAACAACGAAAGAAAACCCTGCTTGCTTAACCAGGTGTAAGTCGGGAGAGCTCTAAAAATCTGAGATAGGAGGCGGCAGAGGCCCATTGGGACAGGGGGTCTGCAATCACCTCTGTCCTGGGAATCCTGCTGAGAACAGGATTGATCGGGATCTGCAGGAATCTTGGCCACATGTGATTTCTGGAAAAGTAATTGATAAACGTCCTCATCTGCTAGTGCGTGTGCTTTGTTCACTTTCTAAGAAGCGAGGGTGTCATCTATGTATTAGAGGGCGGCTGAGCAGAGCTCCTTGCTGGTGGACAGTTTAACGAAGGCTGGGCCTCCAGGTCCTGGTGCTGCGTTCAGGAAGAGCCCCTTCACATGTCAGTGGCTGACATGTGGCAGTGGTCCTGCGTGACACGCAGAAGCCTCTCTGAAGCTGAAGCCGAGAGCAGGGCTCTGGATAAGCCTTCACGCCTCCAGCCCCCATATCCTCACCTGCCCATAGCTCTGCTCCTCCGCAGCCAGCATGTGCGAGAGGCAGCACATGCCTTCCTGGATGGGCGGGGCGGGGGGGCGGGGAATGCTGATTTGAGAGCCTTGGGTGCCCACTCATCGGAGGCTAACTCTGTTCCCCTGCGACCTAGCTGTGGCCCTAGGCTCTATGGGAATCAGACGCTGTCTTATCCCTGCGCCCGCCCCCCAACCCCCAAAACACTAACACAGGCTTTAAACTCACTATCTTTTCTCCTCAGAGGTCCTCTCCCCCTTTGTGTAAAAAGGTCCCACCCTGTTTCACCAACTGCCAGAGGATGTTCCTCTCCCCTTCCCTCCAGAAGCCTTGTGGAGGAGGGAGGGGCTTCGCGCCAAGGCCTGAGCTGGCTTGCCTGGCCTGTTGACAACTGCAAGCTGCGGGATTTCCATACAGCTGGAGGCTGGGCATTCTGAGGGGCCTTAGAGGATTGGGCCGTCGCCCATCAGTCATATTCCTGGTTTGTAAATGGACATGTTGAGAGTAGGGAAGGGTATGGAGCAGGAGGGAGCGTGGCAGACTGGCAGGCCATCCTCCTGTGCACTCAGGTCCGCACTCCTCTTCCGACCTCTTCTCACCTCATAGAAGTGAGGTCAGGATGAAAGGATTCTGCAGCGGGTCCCACAAACAGGGAGGACATCAGAGCCATGAGAGCTCAGAACCTCTTATTTCCAAGTGTCTGAAGTTGTGGGATTTGTGTTGCTTGGTCTGGGAGAGAAGAGCTATGAAGCCTGGGTGTATCTGAAATTACTTCCCTACATTGGACTTTACAGGCTGCTGGGGCCTCTGAGGGAGGAAGGGGCCTCTCTGGAATGAGTTCACTTATCTCAGGATTCCGCTGTCAGTTCGGGTCGGGCACCAACTGTCATCTGAACCCTTGTGCTAGAAGGAGTATCCCCTGCCGTGGCAGGTGCTGGCTCACCATGACTGCTCTAATTGTTTCTTTTTGTCTGTCTTTGAATCTTTATTCCAGAGATCCAGTTGTCATTGGTATCCAGGGAGCCCTCCTCCTCCTCCTGCTGCCTCTCTACCATCGCAGTTCCTGGTTGTTGCTAAGGTTGCCTCCATGGTAACATGCGCATGCTGTTTACACTTCCATCTGGGCAAGCTGGTCTGAGCTAGGAACCTACCTACCCTGGAGGACCACGGTCTAACGCCACCTGGGGACACCAAACATCGTGACACGTGGTCCAGCTTCCACTCAGTCCCCCCCCCCCACCCCCCGTCCTCTTCCTCTTCTTGCTGCCAAGCTTCCTAAGGAAAAAGGACCAAGACAGAGCCCATCAGTGTCCTCACCGGGCTCCCACAGAAGCAAGGAACAGGGAGTAGGCAGAGAAGCAAGAGACCCCGCTCAGTTGAAGGGGAGCTCCACATTTGCTCTGACTGAGGGTGTCTGAAGTTGGGAACAGCAAGCAAAATGACCAACACTACAGAACATGCCTTGCCGGCCAACTCGACAGCTGAGAGCCGTGAAAAGGAATTTGGCCTCACAGTCATGGAGCTCAGGAAGCTCATGGAGCTGCGTTCGACCGATGCTCTGATCCAGATCAATGACCACCATGGAGGTGTAATGAATCTCTGCAGTAAACTGAGAACCAACCCTGTGGAAGGTAAAGGCCGTAGGAGGAATGGGGAGTTGGAGGAAGTGGCGAGGGTTAAAAAATAGTGTTTTTCCAGCTTCTGAAGAGGCACCTGGAGCCATGACTGGTATCCCTGTGTCTCGTGGGGAGAGTATGGTATATGCAGCACTAAAAGGTGGTGAGGCCATAGAGAGCCATGTTTCCCCACACACACACAATGTCATGTTGAGGGAGTGTGCTGTTCTCTGAAAATTATTCTTCCCCCCCTTTTCTATATCAATGGACAGAAAGGAGGATATTTACCTCTATTTTGGAAACGTTTATGTTAGGGATGCTTTTATCAGTAAACAATCATCAAGTCCCTTATTCTGCATTAGTCTTTTTTTTAAATATATTTTATTGATTTTTTTACAGAGAGGAAGGGAGAGAGAGATAGTTAGAAACATCAATGAGAGAGAAACATCGATCAGCTGCCTCCTGCACACCTCCCACTGGAGATGTGCCCGCAAGCAAGGTGCATGCCCTTGACCGGAATCGAACCTGGGACCTTTACGTCCACAGGCCGACGCTCTATCCACTGAGCCAAATCGGTTATGGCTTGCATTAGTCTTTTATTGCAACAGGATTAAGATATAATTTTCCCCCACACTGATCTCACAGTGTTAATCTCTAAGGCATACAGTTGAAAATAAGGGGGTGAGTCATAAGGAATATAATTATAATAGTACCCACCAAATATTTGGATTACTCCTATTTCCTGTCACGAAATTATTGATGACTTTTTCAACCCTGCCTGATGCACTTCTAATGTGGTTCTTCTTAATCTATACAGTACTTAAAAGAAACTGTAATATCCAGCTTTTTGCTTGCCTGGCTCAGCCCAATTGCCCAGTGAGCCATGGTAATATGAAATTTTGCCTCATCAAAAATGGAGAGAGAACAAAACGAACCTTGCGTCTCACTTTTGCCTGGTTTCAGCATCTATGCTACAGGTTCTTGTTTGGTCCTATCAGTCAGGCAGGCCGTGGTTGAGTAGCGTGAGGTGAAACAAAGATCTTATCCTTTAACTGCCTTCAGCCTCTGAGGTATACTATTTCTGAGCCTTCCGTGGAGGCCACATCATATTTTTTGCCAATTCTAAGACTCTTTAGGATTTAAAAGAGGCGGGGGGAGGGGGGAAATTTTTATCTCGATATCTGTTCATTGCCCATGACTTGTTTTCTTTGCAATCTGAGAACTGCTCTACATGTTCTCTTTACTTCTGGAATTCAGTTTCCTGTCTTACCGGCTTTGATTCCAGTAGCAGCTCTATCATTTACTACCTGGATAACACGGAACAGTTTACTCGGCCTCTCTGAGTCTGTTTCTTCTTTGAAAATGATTTTAATACCTCGCCCATGGAGTTATTGGGATTAAATACTGCAGTGCATGTTATAGTGCTCCGATTTATGATGGGGATTCAGGAAATGAGCTGTCTCAGATTAACCTGGGGCCCATGTGTCTGAAGATCTTGCCCGAATGTGAGTGCAGTGCATTATTATATCTCTAAAGGTTGCTTCATGTAACTGCAACTACCGTCCACTTCTTCCATTCACCTCTTGATGTCAAAAAGAGATGTAGTTGGGGAAAATAAAAGCAGCAAAAAGAAAAAGAGAGAGAGAGATCTGATTGAGTTGGCTGGGCTTAGTTGCCTTCAGGTGGCTCGGTCTTATCAGCTACCTTTCTTTATTCTGCCACTCTTGTAGGAGTATTGACCTTATTAAAGAGAGGCTCTTCCTGTTAGGTTTTTACTCAGATAGTGCACCCACCAGAATTTAGACGGGATCTCTTCTCCCCCTTTCTATCCTGCGCTTGATCCCTTTGGCGAGTTGTTTCTCTCACAGAGTGAAACTATGGAGTCCAGATAAGCTGGAACCTGGGACCCAGACTTGCTCCCCAAATTTCTAAGTCCTTTGTCATAGCTGCTACTGTTGACTTTCTCATTCCTAGAGAGCTTCCATTCCCAAAGGCCAACGTCTATTCTACTTCAATCTCAACGTCAGATATTGAATGTTACAGAGTTAATGCTCTTAGATGCTTTTCCAGTCCGGTTTCTGGCTGATAGCTTGAAAGCCTCCTCTTTGGACAGCAGGCGCCTCTGTTGCCACAGACCCTGGCCGTGCCTACAGCCCATACCTCTACCGTCGGCACAGTTGGCCACTGCCCTTCTCCTGCTTCCTAGATCACACACGCGCATCCTGATTTATTTCTGTGCAAGATTCGTCCTGGTGCTGGTAGTTGAGCTGGAGAGTTAGGGTGTCAGAAAACAACTTTTCTATGAGTAATCTTTTACCCCCCCCCCCAAATGCCAACAAAGACGTCTTCATGTCTGAAAGGAATAAAGGGGCAGGAAAAGGAACCACCAAATAGCTCTGACACAGGGCTCTCTCCCCAGACACGGGTAGTGCTGAGCTGTTTAGTTGGGCAGGCTGAGAAAAGACCACTGATATCAAGTACCCCATTGAGCTGATGCTGTAAAAAACCAGCCTCGCCGAAACCGGTTTGGCTCAGTGGATAGAGCGTCGGCCTGCGGACTGAAGGGTCCCGGGTTCGATTCCGGTCAAGGGCATGTACCTGGGCTGCGGGCACATCCCCAGTGGTGGGTGTGCAGGAGGCAGCTGGTCGATATGTCTCTCTCATCGATGTTTCCAACTCTCTATCTCTCTCCCTTCCTCTCTGTAAAAAATCAATAAAATATATTTTTAAAAAAAAACAAAAAAAAACCAGCCTCTTCGCAGAAGACCACACTGAAGTGCTAACAGCCTAGCACCTGTGGGAGGCCCCTGTAGACCAATAATATGAATAAAGAGATTTACCTGGTACTTGAATTCTGTTGTTTGGAGACCAAGGTGAAGTAAGGCTGGGAAGATGGATTCCTAGCCTATGACCCTTCACCTTCATTTTTTGTCAGTTGACAGCATCTGTAGTATAGATTGACTTTTTTTTTTTAACCATAGCAACCAAGGGGCCTTATTGAACTTGGAGTTTATAACATTTCTGACACTAACATTATTTATTTTTTTAATTTTATCTTTCAATTACGGTTTATATTCCGTGTTATTTTGCATTAGTTTCAGGTGTACCACATAGTGGTTACATAATCAAATATTTTACAAAGTGTTCCCCCTGATATTTTTAGTGCCCATCTGGCACCATACATAGTTATTATAGGATTATTGACTCTACTTCCTAGGCTGTACTTTACATTCCCAGGACTATTTTGTAACTACCAGTTAGTACTTTTTAATCCCTTCACCTTTTTCACCCAGCCCCCCAACCTCTCCCCTAATCTGGCAACCGTCAGTCTGTTCTCTGTGTTTTTTAGTCTGTTTCAATTTTGTTTGTTCATTTATTTTGTTTTTTGGATATTACACATAAGTAAAATCATATGATATTTGTCTTTTTCTGACTGACTTATTTAACTTAACATAATACCCTCCAGGTCCATTCATGTTGTTACAAATAGTAATATTCCTTTTTTTTTCTGACCAAGCAATATTCCATTGTGTGTGTGTGTATGTGTGTGTGTATGTGTGTGTATGTGTGTGTGTGTGTGTGTGTATATCACAGCTTTTTTATCCACTCATCTATTGATGGGCACTTGGGGTGCTTCCATATCTTAGATAATGCAAATAATGCTGCAGTGAACATAGGGGTACATATATTATTTTGAATTAGTGTTTCAGGTTTCTTTGGATAAATTCCCAGAAGTGGAATTGCTGGGTCATAAGGCAGTTCCATTTTTAATTTTTTGAGGAACCTCCATACTGTTTTCCATAGTGGCTGCACCAATCTGCATGCCCACCAGCAGTGCACAGGGCTTCCTTTCTCCACATCCTCACCAACACTTGTTGTTTGCTGATGTATTGATGACAGCCATTCTGACAGGTGTAAGGTGATATCTCATTGTGGTTTTAATTTGTATTTCTCTGATGATTAGTAACATTGAGCATCTTTGCATCTGTCTAATGCCACATCTGTATGTTCTCTTTGGAGATGTGTCTGTTTAGGTCCTCTGCCCATTTTTTAATTAGATTGTTTGGGGTTTTTTTGGTGTTGAGTTCTTTACAAATTTTTTATGTTTAACCCCTTATTGGATGTTTAACCCCTCATTGGGAATATCTTCTTCCATTAGTAGGTTGTTTTTTCATTTTGTTGATGGTTTCCTTTGCTGTGCAAAAACTTTACCCCGAAGTAGTCCCATTGGTTTATTTTTTCTTTTGTTTCCCTTGCCTGAGGAGATATATCAGAAAAAAATATTGCTAAGAGAAATATCAGAGATTTTACTGCCTATATTTCCTTCTAAGATATTTATGGTTTCAAGTCTTACATTTAAGTCTTTAATCCATTTTGAATTTATTCTTGTATATGGTATATGAAGGTGGTCTAGTTTCATTTTTTGCATGTATCTGTCCAATTTTTCCAGCACCATTTATTGAGTAGACTGTCTTTACCCTATTGTATGTTCTTGCCTCCTCGTCAAATATTAATTGACCATATAGGTGTGGGTTTATTTATGGGCTCTCTGTCTGTTCCATTGATCTATATGCATGTTTTAATGCCAGTACCATGCTGTTTTGATTATCATAGCCTTGTTGTATAGTTTGATATCAGGTAGTATGATACCTCCAACTTTGTGCTTCTTTCTCAAGATTGCTGGAGTCTTTTTGTTTCCACATAAAATTTTTGGTTATTTGTTCTAGTTCTATAAAACCACCATTGATATTTTGATAGGAATTGTGTTGAATCTGTAGATTGCTTTGGATAGTATGGACATTTTAATAATATTAATTCTTCCAATCCATGAACACAGTATATGCTTTCATTTATTTGTATCTTTTTCACTCTCTTTCTGGAGTGTCTTATGATTTTTCAAGTACCTGCTTGGTTAAATTTATTTATAAGTAATTTTTTGTAGCAATGATAAATAGGATTGTTTTCTTAATTTCCCTTTCTAATAGTTTATTATTGGTATATAAAAATATACTCAA